AATAAGATCATCGATAATGATCTTTAGAGATAACATAATTGTATTGATTGTTTTGTGGTCCACAAAGAGAGGTTCAGCATAATGTTCAAGTCAAGGTAGTTTTACTATTGTGATCGAGTCACGCATTCCACAAGGTCTAGTTTTCAAAGATCGGTATCATGAAGAATCGTGGTTTTATTATTTTGATACAAAGAATGGAATTGAATCTTTTCAAGATTGATCAAGCGAGATGTTTCAAGGGTGTAGTTAACACATCAAGTTTGAGTAATTCAAGGATATGAGTCATAAGATATCAAGATAGCATTTGCAAATTACCGTTCCTAATAGTAGGTTTTCTTCCTTCAATGTTTCACTCTTTGGAAGTTACTCAAGAGGTCGTTGTCTTCGGAAATAGCCGTTTTGACTTTTCGTCTTGGATTTGAATGTATTCCAGGCCATCGAATCTAACTGTTCATGAGTCTCAATACGTCATATCATCAGCAGAGTGTAGTATTGGTGAGTACGTCATTATCAGTTGGTAAATCAAATCCATCTTTGCTGTACAAATTTCGACTAAGGATAACTACCCTTTTCTCAAAGATCAAATTTCTAGTCTATATATATAGCATGATTGTGATAAGGGTATCTCACATTCTCACATTATGGAAGGAACTTCTCGAGCTCTTTCTTATACCATAAGATTCGTTGGTCTACTTGGTAGTCATGTTCTTGGTAGAAATCCAAAGTTTATGGCTACTGCAGTAGATTTAGGAAGAGAATTGATAAGGCGAAGAATTAGTCTTGCTTATGGAGGAGGCAACGTTGGCCTACAAGGAGCTGTTGCTTCAACAGTCTTTGCCAATGGAGGTCTCGTTAGAGGTTTCATTCGTGGGTACATAGCAACACGACGGGTCTACGGACGTACATACGGCGTAGAGCACACAGTTTTCAGCAATTACTACAAATATTTTGAAATGAATCATGCCGTGGAAGCTTTCATCATTCTTCCTGGAGGAGTTGACACTATGGAAGGTTTGTTCACCTTGATCTCGTGGGCTTCTGAAGGGTTACACAATAGACCCATTGGTCTCTTGAACATTGACGGTTATTTCAATAACCTACTCAAATTTCTAGATGATGCGGTGAGGCAGAACTTCATGCATTTGAATCAAAGGAAACTTTTTATTTCTTCATTCTTTGTTGATGAGCTTTTAGACAAACTAGAGTTTTCTAAAGCGTTCCCGGAACCTGGGGTTAGTTACGATGAGTTCGTGAATCCCGGAAGACTAGACTTGGAATTGCATTTATAACTTTCTACACGTAATCCAAGTTGTATTTTGTGCTTAAATAATATTATCCAGAAATTTTTTATCGGCCATAAGCCCAACAATAATTTATTTTAATCAAAACAAATTTGATTAATTGATTATTTATTCATTAATAAGTCTAGGGTATATTTTGGGGCGTTACATACGGTGTTGTGTGCTTCGTGAAGCAGGCGCTCTCTCACCTCCCCCGATGGTACTACCATACGCTCCCGATAGTACAAGATATCATCCTGAATTGTGAAATCCAGCTTCTCACCTTGAGAGACGAGTTCAATAGTCTGGATACCAAAAATCATCGCTGCTCTAGGGTGATGCTATCCGCTGACGTAATGTAGGCTGAACATGCAACACAGCTAGAGTCTTGCGACTAAGGGCATCGGCTACCACATTCGCCTTACCTGGGTGGTAAGTGATGTGACAGTCATAGTCATTAATCAACTCCAACCATCTTCTCTGTCGGAGATTCAGATCCTTCTGTGTCAACAGGTACTGAAGGCTCTTGTGGTCAGTGAAGATACGCGTCGTCTCACCGTAGAGGTAATTACACTCATGCGGCTTCAACTGCCGGGATGCATAAGCAACAACCTTGCCCTCCTACATAAGAACACATCCCAAGACGTTATGGGACGCGTCGCTGAAAACCGTATACTCCACACCTGGAGTGTGCTAGACAAGCACTGGTGCCTGGGTTAGACACTCGTTCAGCTGCTCGAAACTCTGCTGACAGGCGTCAGTCCAAACGAACTTGACATCCTTCCTCATCAGCATGTGCAATGGTGACGCTATCTTGGAGAAGTCTTTCACGAACCGGCGATAGTAGCCTGCCAATCCGAGAAAGCTCCTCACCTCTCGTGCATTACGCGGAGTCTTCCACTCCGTGATCGCCGCTATCTTACACGGGTCTACCTTCACCCCTTCGGCCGAGATGACATGGCCGAGGAAGGTAACCTCGTGCAACCAGAACTCGCACTTGGACAGCTTGGCATAAAGCTGCTGTTCCCAGAAAATGCTCAAGACAATGCGTTAGTGCTCGGCATGCTCCTCCTGTGTCTTGGAGTACACCAAGATGTCATCAATGAAGACTACCACAAACTGGTCAAGATGCTTCCGGAACACACTGTTCATCAAATCCATGAACACCGCTGGCGCGTTAGTCAACCCAAAGGGCATGCCTGCGAATTCATAATGGCCGTACCGAGTGCGAAATGCCGTATTAGGAATATCTTCCTTCTTAACGGGAATATGATGGTACCTTGATCGGAGATCGATCTTAGAGAAGACTGTGGCTCCTCTCAGTTGTTCGAACAAGTCGTCAATACGTGGTAACAGATAGCGATTCTTGATGGTGACTTTGTTCAACTAACGGTAATCGATGCACAACCGCATCAACCCATCCTTCTTGCGGACGAATAGAACTGGTGCTCCCCAAGGGGACACACTGGGACGGATGAAGCCCTTATCCAGCAACTCCTGCAGTTGAGCTTTCAGCTCCTTCATTTCCGAAGGTGCGATACGATAAGGTGTGACTGAGATTGGTCCTGTTCCTAGAACGAGATCAATGGAAAACTCTACCTCCCTGGGGGTGGTAGGCCGGGTAAGTCATCTGGGAATACATCGGGAAAGTCACATGCCGTAGGGAATGAGTCGGTGAGCATGAATGTATGAAATGAATTCCGGAGCTTTCTGAAGAAGCTCACCACGGATAAGAACGTCGCTACCGTCTTCAGCTCTCAGCCGAACAGTATGCGCTCCACAGTCAACAACGGCTTGGTTGGCCGTGAGCCAATCCATGCCTAGAATAACATCAAACTCGCGATGTGGAAGCTCAATGAGACTTGCATGGAAAGTCTTCCCCTGGACCACTAATGGGCAGTCGTGATACACGTGGGTGAGTCATAGACTGTGTCCCAACGGGTTGGACACGATAACCGGATTATTCAAGTCTTCCCTTGAAATGTTAGGCATAACAGGCATACGCATACACACATATGATAGAGTGGAACCCGGATCAATCAATGCTGAAATGGATGTATCGAATAAGGTGAACATACCCATGATGACGTTGTGAGCTGGCTTATCGGTACGTCCTCGCATCGCGTAAGTGCGGGCCGGGGCCTTCCCCCCTGGGCGCCAGATGCTTGCCGCTTGGGCTGACTAGATGCTGCCACAGATTTCTGGCTCTGGGCGGGCTGCGCTGCTGGAGCTGAGGCAGCTGGTGCAGATGAAAATGCCTCACCCTAATTCTTCGGACAATCTCTACGGAAATGTCCGGCCTGGCCACACCTAAGGCATAGGCCCTGAGTGAACCATCACTCTCCTGGATGCCTGCGCCCACAATGGTCGCAGATCAGGTTGCGAAACCCATCCCTGCTCTTGCCCTTCTTCTGAACAGACGCGGATGACTGCGCGGGCGCTGCCTTAGCCTTCTTGCTCTAGTGGGAGCTGCTAGGCGCTGCAAAGGACCTCTTGCTACTGGTTCCCACCTTCTGGGTGGAGGAGGACGAGATGGTGCTGCTGACGCCCCCAGCTTCTGCTCATACTAAGCCTTCTTGATGAGGGCCGCATTCATGTCCAACACATGCTTGAACAATGCATTGATGTCAACCCGAGGGGCAGTGATCAGATGAGCCGATAAATTGGGACGTAGACCCTCCACAAAGCACTTGCACCGCTACTCCATGGTCGGGACGAGATCTTGCCCAAACCCCGCGAGCTCGTCAAACTTTTGACGATACTCCGGTAGTGTGAGTTCGCCCTGAGTGAACTTCAGGAACTCCTCTCGCTTCGCCTCGACGAAGTGCTCTGGGATGTACTCCTCATGGAAGAGTCGATCAAATGTGGCCCACTGCACGGGCTCTAGGACGTCTGCTCCCACGCGCTTCCACCAGTCGTAGGTGGAATCCTGGAGTAAGGCAACTGCGAGGTCGCCGCGCTGATCCTGTGGAACCCTCGGGTTCCCCAAAACTCGGATGGTTCGCTCAAACCACCGTTTAGCGATCATAGGGTCGGCGATCTGATCGCCCAAGAATTCCTCAGCTCCATTCTTCCGGAGCTTCTCGATGGTGACCACCGCCACTCGTGGCGGCGGTGGAACGTATGCTCCAGCCATGTGCTGGAGGAAGTTCATGAAGTTTGCCGCGAACTGCGGCTCATTGATAGGGACGGCTTCTGGAACAGGGCCCACGCCCGGGGCTGCCTTCTCGGAGGCCAGCTGCGGACAGCCTCCGTGTGCATGCTCACGTGCTCAGGCTCCCCCTCTGGGACAGCCTGTCCGTCGTTGCCTGCTGCTTGACTCATTCTCTATAGGAATAGCTTAAATCATAACTAATTACAATATGACATACATGTGAATAAAATACGGTGTACCTTTCCCTGGGAGTGATGTGATGGGAGATGCGGCTGTGTTCTTTTTGAAAATACCTTTTGACCAAGATGACAAAATATGTTTTTTTCACAAAAACCGAACTCGCTCTGATACCAAATTGTAACACCCGCCTTCCGTGGACCCAGTTCACCCGTGACCCAACGGATGGTAGGGTTACATGTGGCGGTCCGAGAACCGTCCGTAGTGGAAAACATTAATGCTCATTTATTATTAAAACGGTTAGGTTTAATTGGTGGAGTAAATTCTAGGGAGTTACACCCAAAACGGGTGTGATGTAAATGTAGAGTAAAAGCGGAATAAAATAAATAAGTCCAAAAATAAAGATAACAACAATGGTTGGTTCATGCACAAGTGATTAATTAATTATATGTAAATAAGAAACTCGTCCATGCGCCACCCATCTTCCATCATCACTGTCCACCAGGGTTAGCACCTGTACCGTCGTGTCTACCTGCGTGCAGCAATAACAACTACACGCTCAGCAAAAGCTGACGAGTGAATCTAACAAAAGAACATTAGGTGATAACCCATATGGTTACATACATGTTAATACCTGTACTTAACGTACGGAAAACCACATGTTTACTAACTGATTAGTTTTCACCTCCTGGGGTACTATTACATATAACAAGATGATTGAAACATACATGATGATGATATGACCTGATGCATGACTTAGACTATTAGGGACACCCCTGGCTTAGTTTCACTCGAAAGGATCACCCCTGCACTCCGGTTATCGTACCTGAATGGTAACGAGTCAGGCACGACGAAGATGTCGCAAGTGGACTAGCAAAACTGGGTAGTAGCCGTAACGTGACTACTATGTACGTACACAAGGCCCACATGATGAAAACCCGTTGGATCCCAAAGGTACCAGGACGGGCCCACTGTAGTAGGTGCACGAAAGCCTGACCTCCCTAGAGCGGTATGCACATGATGTAAAAGAAACCTAGGACATGTGTCTAGAATGAACATGATAATTGCTTGATATTTTACCTTTGGTCAACGCCAAGAACATATCAATTAGAAAACACAAATTATGAAGATTAACATTTCATGCAAACAAACGGTCAGATTCTGGGTCAACGTGGTCAACGGGGCTCGTTCCACAAACTGCCCGGAAATCTGCCCGCGGTACGGTCGACCGTACCCCACCGGCGGTCGACCGTGGGCTATGGCATGGGGTCTGGAACTCCGACGGTCCACCGTGGTCTTCCGTCGCGGCCAGCGGTCGACCGTCACGGTGGTGTTCGTCGGACGGCCAAGCGAACGGTCCACCGTTCGTAGCGGCGGTCGACCGTCCCAAAGGCAGTCCGCTGACTTTGGCTTCGTTTTGGTCCATTTTGCAAACTTAACACCTTGATTATTTTTGGAACAATAATATAAACATTTATGAATATATTCCTAGTTATTCCTAGGCCAATATATATAAGTTTTACGTAGTGAATGTTTTGATGGCTAACCTACGAACATGCATAGATTCTACGTAGGTTGCGTACGATATTTCTATGAATATAACGACATAGATTATAACTAAATGTTCTAGAATTAGGTTAGACAACTACTCACCTCTAAACGTAGGGGTTGAAACTACGAAGATGACGAATGAATCGACGAACGATGACTACACTTCACACGAACGATCTAGCTCTCCTTCTCCTCCTTCTCCTTCAACCGTGCACCCACCAGAGCTTCGCCGGAGATTTCCCTTGGCTGCTGGTCTGCCGAACAAAAGGAGGAAGATGGATAGGGATGATGAAAACCTGATGAGGGAATAATAGTGGGGAAGTTACAAAAATGGAATATGATGGGGATGGGAGTGATGGGGTTATAATGGTGGGTTAAGAGGCTATTCAATGGACAATGATGGTGATGTTGAGGGGGCCGAACCAAGGGGTTTAGGGGGGGTTACAAATATTTATTTTACTCCGTTATGTAAAAATGTAACGCCCCAAAACATACCCTAGAATTATTAATGAATAAATAATCAATTAATCAAATTTGTTTTGATTAAAATAAATATTATTGTTGGGCTTTGGGCCGATATGAAATGTGTTTTGACATCCAATATCAAAATCTGGATAAGTCTCATAGAGATAAATCCAATATGTGGACTATTTGTGTGCTCTTGATTGGGAACCTAAGTACAGACCCAAATCAAGAATAAATAAAGAATTTGTTTAGAATATAAATATTGAAATGATTTGTTAAAATAAATCATGAGAATAATTGATATGAATTGAATGAGAAAACCTTTTATGAGAAAGGTCAATTAAACCAATTTTTACTCTATCAAAGTCAACCACCCAAAAATATGATGTCGGAAAAAGTATTACAAATAAATACAAAAAGTATATAGTTGGATAGAGTTTAACTATCTGATCGCAACGGTGCAAACGAAATTCAATTCGGAGAAAGTTGGACCAAAAACTGTACCCCGACTGGGACCAAAATTAATCCCAATCAGAGAACGGCGCCTCCTCCTCCACTATCGCCGAATGAACTCACGGCATTGGAAATCCTACGCAGCATATGTTCTCTTCTCCTTCATCAACTCTATATAAAGAACACTCAAAATATTCAAATCTGCACCATTCTTTCTAAAATTCATCCCATTAGAATCCTGAGAGTGAGGAGAGTAGACTGATGTTGTTGATTTCCGTCGAGGTCGCTGGAGCAAGCCGTGGTGTTTGCTGGAAGTTTCGTCGTTCAAACGTCGGAATCATCATTTAGCTCCGAGGTAAGCCCGTAGATATTTCTAGTGACTAGAATGTTCATATAGATCGTTTCTACGTTCATAAACGGTCGTTTGGTTGAGTTTTGTGTTTGACATGCTTGAAGAACCAAGAATCATAAACCATTAAATTGATGTTAAAACTATGAATTAATGATGCCAAAATGATCTATGAACCTTGGAGAACATTTCTATATACTCCCTCCGTCCAAAATTAATGTTCTCACTTTGACTTGGCACGGAGTTTAATAAAAATTGAAATTTGCTTTGACTTCCCTAAAATGCCCCTCCACCTCTTTCTTCTTTTCCTATCCATCCATCTTCTCTTTGCAATGGGATTGGCGACAGGACCTCTCCCTGCTCCGCCACTAGCTCCGGTGGCTGCTTTACCTTGTCAAATCTGATCGCTGCCTCGCTGCTATATCGTCATCGCCTTCGGCTCCTTCAATTTCAAAAAAAAAAGACGAAGAAGGAAGAAGTCTCGGGCTCCTTCTTTCGAATCCAACACACCATCATCAATGTACTCCACCACCACGATAGATTTCTTCATCGCCGTTGACCTCTTTCACAGATCTGAATCGGATTTCTCAGATCTGGATTGGGGGACAAAAAAAGAAGAAAAATGGGATGGGGAGGGAGAAGAAGATGAAAAGAAGAAATGAAAAAGAAAAGAAAGGAAAAATCGGGAGGAGGGGAAGAAGAAAGAAGAAGAATGAAAAATAAAAGAAAGGAAAAATCGGGAGGAGGGGAAGAAGAAAGAAGAAGAATGAAAAATAAAAGAAAGGAAAAATCCGGAGGAGGGGAAGAAGAAAGAAGAAGAATGAAAAAGAAAATAAAGAAAAAATCGGGAGGGGGGAAGAAGAAAGAAGAGAAGAAAGAAAGGAATAAGAAGAACAATCAAAAAAGAGAAAGGAGAAGAAACGAGAGAAGAAAAAAGAAGGAAAAAGGAGAGGAAAAGTAAAAGAAAGTGAGGGTAGATATGTCTTTTTAACAAAAAGAAGTTACCAAAAAAGGAAATGGGAACTTTATTTATGGACGGACAGAAAAGGAAAGTGAGAACTTTATTTGTGGACGGAGGGAGTAGTTTAATTGACGTTTGATAACTAAAAATAGAATTTCCGAAACTTGGCCCGAGGTTGAAGATGACACTGTTCAAATTTATGCACAGTACAGTACCACCCTACCGCCCGGACGGTACCTAGCTACCGCCGGCACGGTAGGCTACACCGTCCACACGGTATCCTCCCTACCGTTTCATTGTGTTTCTCTCACGGTACCTGGTGGCTGTCGGTACCGAGGTACCGTGACACGGTACCGAGGTACCGTACCAGGTACCGTCCAGAACCAGAAAATGCTTCGAAAACCCGATTTTTGAACTATTAAATTCTATTTGTGAAACAAATCAATTATGAACAATATGAATATAATTTCTGTAAATAAAAATAATGTTTTGACAGATTTAAAAGCTCTGTTTGATGCATGACGGTAAGCTGGGTGTTAACAGTCGACGCTAGGCCGCTATTTGTTAATAAACGTTACTATGACTATTATGATCAACTTGATAATATTCTGAATAAATGATATTTATAATTGATAATGGAATATCATTGATAATAATATTGACTATGACGATCAAATGGACGACCCGAGTGATTATGACTACATAACGATCATGATTTTATTATGACAAATAAAAGTATATGGAATTGAACGAAAGACCCGTAAAGATGAAATTATGAATAGATATGTTTTTTTGACTATCTTGAATTAAATTATGATTATGAATCATCGAAACATAATTCAAAATGAATAAATTGATCAACAAGAAAATGATGTGTACTGTTAAGGATATCTAAAAGACTTTAAGATATACCTATTAGCTAATTTATGTTAAGACTATCTAGAAGACCTCTAGAATACATCTTAGGATGAACTTATCAAAACATAAATAGTTGATGAATTAGATAAAAATGCATAAACGGGATTCGTAGACCAAGCTAGAGGATTACTCGTTTGGGAATGCCCGATCCAATGTTGATCAATCGCTATATTGTTGTTGCCTTAACTGACTACAGTTAAGTGTCTGAAATCGATTGTGTTAAACTAATGATAGTTTAAGTGTCTGATTGCCTTAACTGACTACAGTTAAGTGTCTGAAAACAATTGCCTTAAACTAATGATAGTTTAAGTGTCTGATTAATAATTGCCTTTTAAGAATCTGGTTATAGAAATTATGATCTGGCCTTAGACTAAGAATAGCTAAGAGCATTATTACGATCTGGCCTTAGACTAAGAATAGCTAAGAGCGTTGTCATGATCTGGCCTTAGATTAAAAATAATTTAAGGGCACTGTCAGAATAATATCTGAATTAAATAAAATGTGTTGATATGAACTGAACAATACCAAAACTGTGAATGTCTGAAATGAACATTGTGTGCATGATATCAAATGATTTGATTATGAATTTAGATTCAGTTTATATGGATGTTCGACGCATTAGATATGCTTACTCAGCTTTACCGCTGAGCGTGTAGTGTGTTTTATTTGCTACACACAGGTAAAACAGAAAGAACACTGTGATCCTGGCAGCAGATGGGGCGAGATTGTCAGGATGGATGTGACAAGTTTGAAATGATTTATGATATGTCAAAATTGAATTCGCTTCCGCAATATTGTTGAATACTCCGTACTGTATATGTTATGAAAAATTATTGGGATTAATAAAGTGTGTTTGAAAAGTTTTAAATTTTTACGATTACCAAGTTAAATACTTTAGTCCGAATAGGGCTGCAGGCCTGGACGGATTAGGGTGTTACAAAAAATCTGACCTGAACGGTACGCGCTTTTCCCAGCGAACGGGTCCGAATTGAGATCATGTTGCATTTCTAGAATCAGATAGTCAAAACGAATTTAATGATATGATCAAATAATTTTTCTAAGAACTTTTATTTTCCCCAACTCCGCTCGGGGACAGTAATTAATTATTTAAAATAATCAATTCTATTAGACCGGGTTGGAGGGCATTACAGAACTCACCGTGGAACGACTTGGGCGCATTGCCGGCCTCCCCTACCAAGGCGACGACATCACCACCTATGGCGGAGAAGATTGGGTCCTCAACAACGAGGGCCTAGTCCTCAACGAGCTCGGCATCACCGAACTCATTCGCCATCCCACGGGCCGCCCCACCATCCACTCCGCGACCCCCGAGACCCGACTCCTTCTCTACATCGTGTCCCGGATCATCAAGCCCCGGAAGCACGGGCACACGATCATGTCCAGCGAGGATCTCAAACTCATGCACGCCATCATGCACTCGGTGCCGATCAATTGGGCGGAGTTTGTCACGATTTACATGACGGACGCCTCGTCTACCGCCCACGATCACCTCCTCCCGTACCCCTTCTTGGTGATGGACATCTTTGAACGGTTCAAGGTCACCACCACCGTTGGACCGCTCACCAAGGACACAAAGCTTTGGACGATCATGGTCCAAACCTTCACCAAGCGGTCAGACAACGCCGCACCTACCACTACCACACGCCGCCGCACTGCCGCTGGCCCAGCCGAACCCCAGGCTCGGGCCAACCTTGCCTCCATCGCCGACTCCCTCAACCGGCTGCACTTCAAAGTCGACGGGATGGGCAGGTACCTTGAATGGCTCGACGAGGCTGTTCAACGCCAAGGGCACACCATGAACGCGTACTTCCAATGCGTCAACTACGTCCCCCCACCGTACCAAGGCACGTTTCTTGGGCAGGTGTACGGTGATGAGGATGAAGAAGATGCCTCCTATGCCCCGTCAAGCTCCCCGGATGAGGATGAGTTCGATGACGCCATTGACGGTGATGAGGTGGACGTCGACGAGGACGAGGAGGAAACCGAAGACGAAGACTAGGCCGCCCCTAAACTTTCTCTCTCTTTTTAATTATTCAATTGTCATGTGTTTTAAGTTGCTTCCGTTGTTCTTCGCTCTTTCCCAATTCAAATAAATAAAAGTTATCTTTAATCTTTTTGTTAATGTCAAAAGGGGGAAGAAAAGGGCTATGCATATACTAAGGGGGAACGTATCTAAAAACGAGATCGTTTGATTTTAAAATGACTATTTGCTCTTAAGCACAAATTAAGGGGGAACTTTTTCACAACTTTTTGAAAATCAAGTATCCCTTAGTATGCATATCCCCGTCTTGTTTGCTATTATCAAAAAGGGGGGAATTGTTGGAACACGGGTTTATGCCTACGTCGTACTAAACTGTGTTCGTTTTATGACAGGTTTTGATAATGCCAAACCGCCGTGATAAAACGATCAAACTGAGCAAATCAAAGGCGAAGGAACATGGCACGATAAATTGAGAACTGAGAACCAAGAACGAAGACTTAAAAATAAATTGAGTCAGTCTAAATGTGATCAAGACCGGCACAAACTTTTAAACTTGGCTCTCTATGATCATTTCATTAAAATATTATTTTCCATATTCAAAAATTTTTTTCATAAGTTTTAAACAAGCCTAAAACACTTGGTGTTCGCCCAAACCAAAAACCAAGCCATCCGGCGTTCGGTTTTTAGAAACCGGCATTCGGCATTCGGTTATAGGCGTTGGTTTTTGGCGTCCGAACCAACCAAGTGGTTTTCAAAGTTTTATGATTGGTTTTTTACTTCTGTGCATATTTAAATAGTTCTCCAACAAAAACGCTTCAAAAAACACCTCTCGTGTTTGGTCGTTTAGTAAAAACCATGCGAAACGGCGTAAACTTGTCTAGCCGTGGTTTTTATCTAAATGACGTGGTTTTCAAGATGTTTCACTTAATTTCTTAACAAAATGCATTAAATAAATGTTTTCAATAAACTTAGATTTTTGAATAAATGTTTTAAATAAATTTATATTTTTGACATCGGATAACGGCATGACTAAACCAACCATGGGTCTGCCTAAAATAGCCCAACAGCGATGTTGGAGTGACCAACAACGCTGTCTAGCATGGGCAGCTGAAAACCATGGTTTGGCGTTAAGTCTTCCAACAGCGATGTTGGTCTATAGACATCGCTACTGAGCCAAGGTTGGGTTTTTAGAAACATCTGGAACATCGATGTAGACCCCTCTACATCGATGTCCAACCTAAGCCAAAAAGAAATGCTTTTGGCAGAAAGTTTTTGGACAGCGCTGTTGACCCAGCAACATCGATGTCAGGCCATTTCCTCATCCTTCAAAGTCCGGCCTGAAAAGTGATGTTTGAGTACTGAACATCGATGTAGGCACCTGACCATTGGAAGGAATTTATGGCTAAAACTTTCCATGTTTGGAAGTCAACAGCCAAAACAGCGATGTAGGTCTTTTGGACATTGATGTTGACTTTACCGTTGCTTCCTGATTTTCAAAATCTAAGCCTAGAACACCGATGTCCAATCCATGGACATCGCTGTCTGGCTGATTTTCAGCAGATCCAATTTTAATCAAATACCACAAATTGTGCCAATCACCCCCATTCAACTCCTACCCGTTGGAGCCTATTTTTCTACTATAAAATGGGGTGTTTGGGTCTGCTTTACACATCACATTACTTCACAATTCTTATTTTTCATTGCATTACATTCATACATTATTCATAGCTTTTCGAGAGCGATTTTTGTGAAGTCCGTGTTGTGTTCTTGAGCGTTTTGAGTTACTCATTATCCACTCTAAAAGAGAGTATTGTTCTTGAGTGATTTAGTGTTCTTAGACACTTGATAAGAGAAAGTCTTTCTCTGGAGTTGTTCGAAGGAAGGGTTGTTTCCTTCGAAAGGTTGTTGAGGTTTGTGTGACTCGAACTCTCAAGTTGTACGGGTTTGTTAAGCACCATTAAGCTTAACGTTGATAGTGTAGCTCGAGAGAGTCTCTCGGGAGGCTGGACTAGCCACACGTTGTGGTGAACCAGGATAAAAACGGTGTGCCTCTTCCTTGCTCTTTACTTTACGCTTTTAATTTTTTTATTCCCGCGTCATTTTCGTTTCAAATGCTATTCACTCCCCCTCTAGCATTGGGACATTTTTCTAACAATCGCCACGCACATCTCAGCCTCTTCATCGCCCTTCGGGATTGGCTCCAAGCTCATCATTTCCTGGATTACCTACGTGTAGCAAATAGGAAAAAGGCTACACGCTCAGCATTGAAGCTAAGTGAGAAATATATAACATAGAACTATCCCTATAGATGATCCCACTAGCCCATATCCTCATACGATATCATGCACACAACATGCTCAACACAATCGTACTTCATACAGGATATAACATACGCAAACAGTAGCGTCATCATTCAAGAAGTACAATTTACAGGATATAATAACAAACTCTTTCCTCTTTGTTTACTTTACTTTCTTTCTGTACTCGGCTCTTAACCTATGCTAGGTTAAAGCTTAACTGTATATGACTTGCCTATGGGAGTCATGACCTTCCCCTTCGGAACGAAGGTCAAGCTCAAACCAACTCGGGAGTTCTTCGTTGGATGGGTGAGATCCTTGTCCCCTTCGGAACGACAGTTCTTAGAGTTCAGTCATTGGACCCAGCAGGTACCACATGACTCTAACTTACTAACTTATGGCATAACTTGCCATTATTTCCATTCAAGTCAGCTCCTAGAGTTCAGTCTAGGTATTTCATCCATTAATTACCAATAGTTCATAGCATACATATTCATGCATCATACAACATAATTCATCTCATCCAACATACCCAATCAGCGGCCTAACCCTGGGTATTGACACCCATGTTTACCGTCATGCAACACACAAAGTCATGGAATCGATCCTCGACGCAAACAACAAATACAGACCGGTTCAAGTACCTCACAGTAGGGGCTACCGACCCCACGGTACCAGGGTACCGTCCCCACGGTACGGGGGTAATGACCGTGTCATCTGACATACCTTACCGGTAGGTTGTCACGGTAGCCTCTACCGACCCGGCGGTAGGGCCTACCGCCCACCCGGCACCTAGGTGTCGTTTGGTTACAGGTACCGGCAGAGAAGAACGAAACCGGGGAGGCTGGCGGTAGCCAGGTACCGTGCCAACGATACCCCCCTACCATCTATCGCGGCGAACACCACACTTGCACCAGCTCCGTTTTCGTCCCTAAAACAGCATTAGTTCCAGTAAATACAAACATAACAGATCATAAACCATCAATCTAGCATTATCTAACCAACCCTCAATCATTCTAACCCAAACCATACTTTCCAAATCATAAACGGCATAAACAAGGCATAATTCACGTATAGTCCAAGTAGATCAACCGTAACGATTCTACGGACGTAAGATTCAAACCTACGAATATGACCATACGTTAGATGACCACGTACTCACCTCGAATTCGACGATTAGAAGCTACGAAACAATAACCACGAACGACGGTGTCGAATTCTTCCTCTTCCTTCTCCTTTCTTCTCTTATTCTCTTCTTCTTGCGTTTGTACTCCTACTCTGTTCCGTTCGGCGATGGTGAGACGCGAGAGAGAGGCGTGAGAAAGTGTGGAGGGAGTTACGTAAATGTGGTGGCGTAAGGGTTTGGGACGTGTAGGGAGTATATTTATACTTTTGGGGTTTTGGGCTCCGTATTAACTGAACGTACCCGGCCCAAACGCACTTTCCGGGCCCACTGGCTCCAAATCTAAATTCGATTTCACCGTTAGATTCGATCCGTCGAACACTACACAACGGTATAATCTTTAATGTCAAACGAAGAGTTCCGAAAATGGTAGCAATGATGGTCGACCGTCGCTTGAAAACGGTCAACCGTTCCGAACACAGTCAAATACGAAAAATGCTTTTTTTGAGCTCTAAAATCCTAATTTTGATACCAATTAATTATGATCGATATAAACATGATTTTATAAAATAAAAATGTTGTTTTTGACATATAAAATAGTATGTGATGCATGACGGTAAGTTTGGGTGTTAACACTCGAAGCTAGACCGCTAGTTGATATTGTTTGAATGTTATGTTAATTGATGATTATGATGCATAATTATTATGGATTAATTATGATGAATATTCTGGATGGAATGATGATTATGAATTGTTGAACTAAGATTCAAAATAAATGGATTGATGAAAAATGAGTTATATTGTTAAGGCTATCTAGAAGACCTCTAAGATAGACCTCAAATTAGAATGAGCCTTGCGGGTATAAATATATATATTCGGTGGCCTTGGGTAAAAACGTACGTACGGGATCCGTAAACCAAACTAGAGGAACTCATTTGGGGATACCTGTAACACCCCAATTCGTATAACCCAGAATTATAGGAATTAAGGTGAAACGGGAGAAATATTTTTAAAACTTTTCCAAATCATAAAATAAAATTTATAAACAAAACATCAAATACAAAATACTAAATTTGGATTGATCCTTTTACAAAATGTCGGAGATAACAGAACACTTAAAATAATACAAATACAATGATGTGTGTCAAACCCGAAACTTCAAATGCAATGCTTGTGAAAATCATGCATGTCAACCTACCATCCTATCGTCTCTTCGTCCTCCGGGTGGTTCACATAACCTGTGCTTCAACCTACGTGTAGACAAAAAGACTACACGCTCAGCATAAAGTTGAGTGGTACGATAACGCGAGATATCGATAACATATTTATACTTAAATACCATGCATCACATTGGCCACATAATTTTCATTCTTGCCTAGTAGATTGCACAATATACGAGAAACACATATATATATCATGAATATTCATTTTGGAATATTATCCAAACATAAATACCTTGGCCTAGTCGTCGACGATGTTGGATATGAAGTGCGGTACGTTTTGCAATACCACATACAACTGATAATTGAGATTTGTATAATTACTCACAAATGATGCAATTCCAAATGATTCATGATGCATGGGTTAGACAGCGCTAGGAGCCCCTGCCCTTCGGTGATCATCCCCACGCGGTAGATGGACCGAGGAGCGCCTTAGTCTTCCCGATTGAGACTAGAAATGTTGGTGATAGCTGAAAGCCTAGCTACCATGTACGTACACAAGCCCTCGTGATGAAAACCCGTTGGATCGCGCAG